GAGAGAGAGAGAGAGCAAGTGGTTCCCTCCCACCGTCTTTTTAACGGCGGTTTCGCTGAGAAATGCGCGATATGCTAATGGACGTCGTAAAATGAAACGGCGGCGCGCTTTTGTTGCTCGCCGGATATTCTCCAGAGTCGAAACTTTCTGGCAACAGCGGCGGTTCTCGCCGGTCTGGGGTGGAAAGGGCATTGGCAGGCTGAAAGTTTCTCCCGCTGGGGAGGGAGGGAGGGAGGGAGGGAACGACTTTCGAACATTCGTATTCCCCCGACAGGGAGATCGATCGTCCACGCGACACCCATTAATTGCTAATTATTCTTCCCATGCGATGATCTTAATGCGTCAACCCGCGGTTCTGTCTACGCGATTATCGCGTTGAAACGATTCCCCAGAGAATTTTGAAATGGCGCGAGGCAAACGAATAATCGCAAATGTGGCAGAGAAATAAATAAAAATATATCGAGTCGGGAAGTTAATCGCGATTCGTGGGAAAAAGTACTTACTTTTTTGTACTTTTGTAAAGTTTACAACGAAACGTTTTTTGATATTTTTGATCGAAAAAAAGGCAAATCCGATTTTTTCGTAACAATTTTTCTGGAAAGTAATATCGGTGTTAAAGTTTGCAAAAGAATTTTATTATACGGGTGGGTGTTTAAGTAAAAACGGGCGTAGTTTAAATCGTCAGGTTATTTCAGCCATGTACGAAAATGTGGACAGTTGAAGGAATCGTGATAAGAGCGGGAGGGACGCGGGTTCAATCGGCGATTTGCCGAATTCTTGCGGATCGATTTCAATGGAAATAGGGGTTATTGACTTGTGGAGCGTATAACGCGGCGCGAGGGTCTCGGCAGGAAGCGAAAATTGAGACGACATATATTCACGAAGAAAGTGGCAGATTTCGAGGGAGAGAATCGCTAGACGCCAAACCAAGGGTCGAAAGAGCGGAAGAGTATTGATCGTTCGCTTCATTGCCAACTGCTTTTAAACGAAAAGATAGATTTTATTTATGTGCAATTATATTCTTTATCTTTTAATTACTTAATTCGTTTCTCTTTGATTTAATGTAATGTAATGAAGAAGGATTATGAAAATTGTATTTTAACGGGAAAAAAGAATATGAATTTATAAAATTATTGAATATAGTAGAATAAAAAATTCTATACTATAATTGACACGTAGTCACATGTATGTATTGTAGTTTTTAATAACCTGCAATTAGACGACACGTAGACTTGGATAATTTGAAAGTGCTGTTCTAAATAGAAAAAGAACATCTATGAACAGAGAATATTTCTAATTGTACTACGAAAATATCTACGAAGTTTCATTGAAAATAATATTTAATTTAAAATATGTTATATCTTTTTTTTTATAAATGTGATCATTGCTTCTCATTTAATTTTATTATGAATTCTAGAAATTCTCTCTTAGTACATAACGTAGATTACGTTTTTACATTATTAATTGTAAAATCTTATTTAATTCTTTATAGTTCTTTTCTTCACTGAAATGATCAAATAGAAACAATATCATAAGGAAAATAATGTTTATATCCTAAGTGGAAAAGATCTATTTTAATCGCACGTATTTTTACGCTTTAAAAACTCGTAATAAAAGATCGTATAATCCATCTCCAACATTTCTCTAATCTCCTCTTTCTTCTCATATATGATCGAATACAGATACGATTCTTCACACTTTTAAATTATCAAAGGTTTGAAAACTAATTTCTTCAGTCTGCCGAGTAATTTTTATTCTTTTCATTTGCCCGCCACCCCCACTCTTCCACCGGTTTGGCGCAATTCCTCGTGTTATCGAACGAAACGCTGTAATCTGGTTTACGCATGCGCGATAACGAAAGTCGAAACTAGTTGCAACGGTATACCGGCTCATTTCAGAGATCACAGAGCGCCGGTAAACATCGCGATTTAAGCAGTAGCAAGAACAGGCGATTAGATCTAACTAGATAAATTTTAGTCACGTGCTTTTTGCCACACGTTTTCCCTATTTCCCGCCAAATGTCGATCCTAAAAACTTACGATGTGCATCGTAAATGCGCGCGAGGACACCGCATTGCGCAAACCATAGTGGGGATCGAACGAATTATTTAAATCTGTGACGGGACCGCGCGTTTTCGTGACACGGATCTATGTTTCGTGTTCGCCTGACAGGTTCTTTCGTGACACCGATAACTTGTGATGGATCTACCCTTTCTTTCCTGTTGCCCACTCTCACTCACCCTCGTTCCTTTTTGTTTCGATCTGTGTTCCACATTTGCCAACTCGACGAGTCTTGGTCGAGAGGTTAGAAACTGGAGAACGAAGATTATTTTTTTAGCTTGATGGAATGGTGTTGATTCTTATAATGGATTGCATTTGGTATAAAATGTTGATCTCAAAGTAGTTAAAGATGTTTGTGATAAAACTTTTTATATCTTTTTTATAATCTTGAATTTAATTTAAGATCCAGCATTGTCAAAGGTATGTTGTATACAAATGCAAAAATTTTTGGTAAATAAATCTACGCATAATTCGAATTTCTTAAATGAATTAATTACAATTATTTACACATTACATTTACAATATTATCTTTCGTTATTTTTTAATATCAAAAATATCATATATTTTTTAAATTATTATAATTTTTATTTTTTCATTTTTAGCCAAAGAATAAAAAAAGTATTGCAGATTAAAATAATGTGTTGCCAAAAATAATTTTTTATACAAATTTTAAAAACAATCACGAATTATTATTCACGAATTACATTATCTCATTTATAAAAATTTTTTCGATGTCTGATAATAAATAAATTTTCGTATATATTTGACTATATATATAGTAATCACATTTTAATTAAAAGAGCCGAGATATATGATTTTATCGTTGCAAATGTGTAAGTTGCACAGAATTCTTTCGAAAGACACTCACTTTCTCATTCACTGTAATCAATAGAAAAGTTAAGCACGCAGACCTCTCGAAAAATTTCAATGGAGAAGTAACTATCTTTAATTAATGGAACCTATTTAACTTATCGACGGTAGCGAGTTCATTAAATTCTATTAGCGATTTAATCTTTTTGATTTAAAAACAGTTTAAACAAATTTCTTTCTTCTTTCTTTTTATTAACGAATATTTTTCTTTTTCTTTTTTTTTTTTTTAATTTTAGATAGATTTACAGTATCTTATTTTTTATTAAAAAATACATCATACCCAAAAATCGATGACTTAAAAAAGTATATTATTACATTGTAACACGAAATTATAATTCATAAAAATAGCGTGTTGATTGTAGTCACGCAAGCTTGTAGTCCGATCTAAGAAAAAAATGAGAATATAAGAAAAGGTTACCCGTTGAAAGTCAGTTCAATGAAGTCTCACGATCGAGTGTATCAAGTATTCATGGACATTGATCCAAGTAATTTAACTTAAACTCAATCACTCTACAATATTATTTAATTTTATATTCGAAATACCCACACATTTGTAAAAATTTACCACGTGTTTAGTAATCCGTCCCGTAATGCCGTCTTAAAAAAAAAAAAATAATAATAATTATGAAATAAGTAAGAAACGATATTCGATGAAAAAGAATATTTTCAATCGTCGCACAAACCGTTTGTACGAGTGTAATGGAGTCGTCGAGAGGCGCTAAGAAGCGAACAGTTTTAACCGGAAGACCTCGAATTGCGAGTGGAAATGCGGTCGTTGAAGATGAGAACAGAGTTTCGTCGAATCGAAACGGCGAAGATGCTCGTGATTCTGGCTTGTCTTCCGAATGTTCGACACCTACAGTGGGTTCACCGGTACCAAGGCAACGAAAACCCACAAGCAATCCGATTAATATCGGTGATAACTCGATGAAACCACGCGCCACGATTCAGGCTGGAAGGTAGATTCATCTCTTAAAACAACGGTCGATTGATAGGTTTTTGTGACTCATTGATTGAAATTAATAAAATAAAAATATAATATTATTTTTTCGAAATAGAAATATAAAACAAAACATCTTCGATTCTTTGAAAAATAAAGGATGTTTTACTTAGCATTGTGAAAAAAATAAATAAATAAATAAATAAATAAAATCTAATTGTAATGTTTTCTTATAAATTGTTTGTTTCAGAAACGATTGTGATAAAACAAAGATATGGCGAAATAGATCCGTGACTGATTCACCACGTTCCATAGATAGCACGCGTAATCGCCAATTCTCTAGTCCCTTAAGGATATCAAGAAATGTAAGTAATTTTTTTTATAATCGCCACTATTGTTCAATTATTTTAGATTGTACCAATTTTTTCGCGATATTGAAATAATATTTTAAAATTATAATAATAATATTCTATTATTTTTATAGGATATTAATTTCATTGTCTGTGTATAATCAATATATATATAATCAATGTTCCTGATATTTCATTTCAGATCCAATCACCAAATCTTGACTCTGGGGATGAAGGAAGTCTTCGAGTTGATCGTGATACCTATCAACACATGTTTCAAGACATTGTTTCTATAAAAACAACGCTCCTGAAACTGAAACGAGTACTTCAGCAGGTATATACGAATATATATTGAAAGGATTGACACGACTTCTTTACATTTATGAATTTTATTAATAAGAAAGACACAATATTTTCGTTTGTTTCATATAATATGTGTATCAGTGTGCTTCTGTATTAACACGCATTCTTTTATTTTTTTTTTTCATTATTGTCATCAACCATGATTTTATCTTCAAGTCAGAAGAGAACGGTTTGACGAGGGTATGTTTTTTATTGCACATTTTATTTTGATATCATTTTTTTTTTTTCCGTATTATGCTTGCAGGATATATATTTATTATCGTTATCGTTATTATTTAACGTTATTATTAAACGATTTATAGAATACAATTGTATTTTTATAATTATAAAATATTGAATAACGTATAATTTATATTATGTTCACAGGTAGACACTCTCAACCCATTCGATAACTCCATGAAGGTTAGTTTTATTTTTAATTATATTTTTTTAAAAAAAGAATTTTCTTTTTTTTTTTTTTTTTTGTTGAGAAATATTGAAATTTATGAAATAATGACTTTTCTATCATTGATTTAAAATTTATTTTATTGTACTGTTGCCAATTTTGTAATGATATAATTTAGAAAAATATTTATGAATTTTAGAATGGTCTCTTCTATAATGTGAATGAAGGAGGCACCGCGGATGTTAGTACCTCCCCTGGAAGTGGTGGTAGTAGTATCGCGGATGAATTGGCCGATTTACGTAGGCAGGTTGTTTTTTTGCAAGGTCAAGTAGAAGATAGAGATCGAACTATACAAGTACTGCAGGTAAGAAGTTTTATTAAAAATATATTTTTAAGAAAATATAAGAAAATAAATTATAGACAAACGATATCTTTTTTCGATTTATCTCTAAGTTGAAAACATTCAGCTATTTAATTCAAATTTTCATACAAAATAATAATATTTTTTATTTTGTAGTTCCAAATATCGAAACTTCAAGGACCTAACGGCGACGGCCAAACGTGTGCTTTAACTAATCATAATAATTTTTCATCTCCAAATACTTGTAATGCTGCTACGCAAACAGAAAAGGTAAATGTTCATAATCCGTTATTTTTAATACTACAAAAATTCAGCGTCAAATTCTCTATAATTAGCACAATTTGCATCTCACCGATTTTTAACAATATTTTTTTAGAAATCAATTTTTGAATAATGATCGCAAAACAATTAATTTTTTGCTTCGTGCTAAAAGCACACATAGTAAGTTAAAAAGAAATGTTTTTTTAAAATAGTAATACAAACCACTGAATAGGTGATAAAGTTTTTGAAAAACAAAACTTTTATTTGCGCACTTGTTCTATAATGTATTATACATATGTTTATAGTACATTTTTAGTTATAAATTTATTTTTTTTTAAATTTAGCATAATTGTTTTTAAATTGCACACTTTATTTATGATTGCATTATTATTCGATAAAAATCGCGTCATTTTTAAATTTTTAACTTAAAAATTTTAATTATATGAAATTATATACATTAATTTATATTAATATTAAATATGAAATTGTTGAGAATTAATTAAAATAGACAATTGATTTAAATTATTCGTGATAATGTATATATTGTGCATATGTGCATACTGTTTTTACTTAAGATGTCTCACATAAAATATTCAAATAATTTGAAATATCAATATCCATTTTATCGACTTCGTAACTCCATTGATTTAATACAATCAATGTAATATTTAATTCATTATTTGTATTATATGTTTAATCCTTCACTTATATATTTATTCATATGTGGCACAAAATTTTGTGAAATAATAATTGGACGTAGATCATTTATATTTAAATCACAGATATGATATTATAAATTTTTATTATTATTATTATTTTAATATTATCTCTTTTTTAAATACAATAAATAATTATCGTATAGATATATAATTATAGATTTTTATATTGATTTTTGATTTTTTAAGCAATATCTTTCAATTTTTTGTTATTTTATTTATTGTTACATTATTTATTTATTTATTATATATTTAATTATGAATACAGACACGACCAGTGTCGGCAGGACCATCACTCCTGCAAACACTTCCACAGGATGATGTTATGGGGCCTCTAGTTAGGTGAGATTTTTTTTTTTTCTTCGTCTTAGAAGCATTTTGTTAATTCTTTTTTATTTTTGAAAAAAATCAGAAAAATTTTAAAAATATAAAAAAGAAATCAGAATATTTTCAAAATATTTAAAATATTTCGATTAAATAAACGATTTATAAAAAAGAATAATAATATTAATAATAATGAATTATAATTTATATTTTTTATTGAATTAATTAGAAAAAAACTTTATAATATAATGTAAGATTTCCTAAAAATTTTTCTGACATCATTATTCTAAAAGATTTAGGTAAAATATTTAAACAATATAGGAAATATGTTCAGTAATAAATTCATAAAATACAGGATACGTATCTTCTCATGTAGACATGATTTAAAAGAACTTTTTAAATCTTCTCTGAATCTTTAATTGTGTAATATATTTTTACATTGTTATAAATAAATCTTAGAAATTTTGTAATTTGTAATCTATTTACGTTCAAATATTGTCACAATGAGGAACTAGGTGCAATACATTACATGCATACATAACATTTACAGCTCTTGTAAATATCATAAATATTTTTCACATGTGACATCATGAATTTTGTCATAAATAACATATTGTTTTTGCTGCTCTGGTCATTACCCTTCTTCGATGATACCATGTGAGACAGCTTCAGGATCGGGAAGGTAGAGTCGGTCAGTTTGTGTGACTTAATATTGGGATATTTGCTACTTTCTGCATTAAATGCCCTTATATTCGTGCATCTTTTCTATATTAGGATTACTTGTTTGATCATTCGATTCTAACACTTTTCTCAATTTTATTTTGCATGCAAAAATAATATTCTGCTTTTATTTTTTTCTTTCATACTGCTCCATTAAATTATTTCAAAAAATGTAAAATATTAATATTAATCGTATTTAACAGAATCTGATATGACATCTTGCATTAGGGTTTGTAATCGAATCTTTTTATTGTTATTAATAATAATATAATGAGTAATCAGTGTAAATAAAATTAATAAATAGAAGTTAATAATTTTGTATAATATTAAAAAGTATATGTTATATTTATTTATAAATTTTTTAATAACAGAAATATATCTGTAATATATCAGCAAAAAAAATATTTTTTTAAAGAGAAATATATACACACACATATATATATATATATATATATACAATACTTATTAATAATTAATTGAGATACATTAATTAAATACGTGATTCGATTACAAACACTATATGAATTAAACTAACAAACTAATTTTTCAACAGTTTGAAATATAATTTTAGTGATACATCATATAAAATAATTTTTGCTTTCAAAGTAATCTTTGTAATATTTTAACATTTTTAGTATATTAATTCCTAGCATGTAGTCCTATAAATAGATAAATTATATGATCAGTTGGAAAATATTGCAAATTGAAAATTGATTGCATAATTCATTTTTCAAACACTCTTTTGAGTTTATAATAGATTTACAATTAATAATGTTTCATGCTGCATTTGATAGCTGTGTGGGGTAAGTTTCCATTGTTGCTTAACTTTTGATTCATTCATCAGATAAAAATTAAAAAATAAATTTGGCTTTCTAAAATTGTATTTTATATTAATAAATTCCTTCTTACACAAAAAAAATTTCTTAACAAAAAAAAATTGTTACAAATGTTTATAAGAATTTCTGTAATAAAAATTAAAAAATTTTGTTAATTTTATTTGCAGATGGAATGAATCATGGGATCGACATCATTCTCCGTTGCTCGGAGAGCTTAATGGTAACAGAAGCCCACGTAAGTCGACCGATCGTATACCGCGTACAATAAAATCTCGTCAAGAGGAAACCTCGCATCGTCAAAATGGGCATACAGATAAATTGCCGGTTGATAATCTTTCTTCGAACAAAAAAATCTTCAAATCGAAAGATTTAAAATCTACTGAATCGAACGATAAGGAGCAACACGAGACAAAAAGGGAGGAGAAATCGTGTATTCCAACGGCTAGAAAACTTGCAACATCGACTCTAATACCACGGTCAGCGAGAGCTTTAACCTCGACAGGCCGACCGCACAATACGTAATTACTTTATTTTGAGAAATTTCATTGAATTTTTTGACTTTACTTTCGTTTCATCACGAAAAAATTGCTCAGATAATTTGATAATCTTATTCTTTATGTAGAATGAAATTATTCTTTCATCCTTTAATTTGTAGCAGAATTGCTACTATGTGATAATGCTATATATAATTTAGATATATATATATATATATTTTTATTTCAATTTTGAAATACGAAAGAAATTTCAAATTATATTTTAATGATTACCATTTTACACTAAGTATATAATTTTTTTTCTTATTTTTCTTAATTTTTCGATGAACAGCGAAAGTGAAAATGTCTTCAACATTTGCTATGCATAAATTGCAAAAATAATGTACAAATTATATGTTGAAAATTAAGGACAAGTCATAAGTTCCTATCATTTAAAGTTATGTTTCATTTGGTTCTGTCACTTCATATGTAAAAAATGCCACCATGGTCATTCTCAATATTTAAATGAGATCATTAAATTGTAGAAATTAATTTGTGAGTATCAATTATTAAGTTCTATTTGACTTTGTTTAAAGATATACATTCATTATATGGATGTATAATTTGAACTTTTATTTAGAAATATTTTGAAAATAATGTTTGTGATATTATAAAAAATATCCATTTATCTTGTGTACATTTTTTAATCAATTTTCATATAAACACTATCATATTTATTTGGCAAATATCATAAAAATTATAATACATATTTATATTCTTAATATCCAATAATATTTATTTGTAAAGATTTTTTCATTAATTTGATATCTTGAAAATTTATATTTAAAATATTTTAAATACAGCAAATACAAAACACATAATCTATGTCTTATGAAACTATAATTACACTAAATTTGTATTACATATTGTGTATGCTACAGTATAATATGCTATGTGTGATACATTGTATGCATTTCATTACATACATGCAGTGTACACTATAGTATAATACTATTGCTATCACAGTCTATGTAATTGCATTATGGTGTAATATTGTAGTGTAATATTTTTAAAATATACTATATATTATATTCTTTTACAACTATTATACTTAGAATAGAAACACAAGATAAAGGATTGATTATTATAAACATTTATGTTCCACACAAATAAAGACTTAGGAGACAATATTAAAATTGATTTCTCCATATATTTTTAAATATAACAAACATTATTCTTGATTTAAAAATTTTTAACGAACGAATTTAATTCTCTGTATTATTTTTTATTCAATGTACAAATATTTGATATGAAATAATACCTTTTTAACTGACCATGATTTCAACAGTAAATCATTACTATTAAAATCAGGAAAATTTTGTAAATTTTTTTTTACAATTTATGTTATTTATAATTTATTTCATGGCTGATTTGTAAGATTATATTTGGTGCTATTATTACATTTTTTTTTTTAGTTTATCATATTTAGAATCTCCTGCATTATTGAATGGGAAAATCAAATGATTAAAAAAATCGTCCTTTTATTTGGTTAATTTTAAAAAAAATGTATAAAATACAGCTACATAAATAAATTAAATAAGACAATAAATATATAGCTGTAAATGATTGGTACATGAGAGTTTCATATATTTTGTGTCATATTAATTAGTATTATAATAATATAATTTACTATTTTGTATGAAACCGAGAATATTGTTTAATTTATATCAGGGGATACTAAATATTTCAAATACATTGTATATTTTTTTTATTCATACTTTAATTTGTAAAATGGTATAATAATAAAAAATAATTAAGTGCATAAAACAATTTTTTATATACAAACAATATTGAATTTAATATATCTCACCTTTATAATGAAAACAAGCAAATATGTATAAAAATATATTTCAAGAAAAAAATATTAGAAAAAATATTTTTAAAGGGATAGACTGATTATAAAATAATACTACTTTTGAAACAATTAAATCTGATTTTTGATTGTCTTCATTTTAAAAGGTGAATTGATATTTTTTAATAATAAAAAGACATTTTTTATCATTCATTTTTTTTAGTTTAATATTATCATAATTATATTCAATTTATAATTATATTCAATATATGATATTTCTTTTATTTTATATTACATTATTACAAACTATATTTTCAATACATCAATCATGCATTTTACATTTGGAAATATTCCTAAAATATTTTATAAAATGTGATATATTTAAAAAAGAATAAACTATTAATTATTAAGCTGATTTGAATTTAAGCTGATAACAATGTAATACACAAATAAATGTTATATTTGCAAAATTTTTCAATAGAAAATACCTTTGTGCATTAAATTAATAATAATAACTTACAATATATTTTCAAATTACTAGAATAAAAAATTAGTTGAATATTAATTAATCTATAAAGAATAATAAATTTATTCATAAATGAAATTTGCTTTTTAGTAATTAGTTTGCAATATTAAATCAATTTCAATTTTTTTTTAATCTAATGTAATTGCAATTTTAAAGATATTAAAATTTATAAAATTACATTTTTTTTATATGTAATAAATTGAATATAATTAGATTACAACATATTATTTCATAATATAAATTTCTTTAAACAGTTTCTTTAACCTAAATGATGAGAAAATAAATCATAAATACTGCTGTTCCTCGAATGCGGTAGTATTGTACTTGTACTGTAAGTACTTGTACAGTACTTGTACAGTACTTGTACTGTAGAAGTGTAAAATTTAGCTATAAATATCTTTGAATGTTTAATATTAAACACATGGCAAGCACAAGTGTAAGTAGCATTTTAATCTTATTTAATATTTAATTAAATATATTTACATAAATAAAAGCTTTCACTTGTAATTAAATAGAAATATCAATAATTTACGATCTGTAATAGATAAATCTCATTTTAATTTGTACATTATATGTATAAATGTATTTTCATTGTGATTCTAAATATAATAAGATAATAAATGAAATTATGTTTAAATGCGTTATTTATTATTATAATCTGTCTTAGCACAAAACTTATTTCTTGAAGACAAGATATAAAATTAGTTGACTTTAGACTTAATAGAATTTTCAATGCATTTTTTATCTTCAGAAAAATTTATACATTCAAATAATGACTGATATTTAACTCTATTATTTTCTTTGCGTAATTTATTTACAATAATATATTTTATATTGTTTTATACTATTCGATCAAATTTTTATATACAATATATAATAATTTTATGTGTCAATTAGTTTTTCTATATTCTACTCTTTTTTGTTGTATGTATATTTTATATTTATTTATATTATTATATATTTATTATATATGTTATTATATATTTTATGTTTTTATATTTTGTAATATATTTTATATATATTATTTTGTATTTATATACTTTACAATATATTTTTATATTTTTATATTTTTTGTCTTTTTTATTTCACCTTTTCTTTCAACAAATTCCTATATTTTTTATAATTTTTCTAATAATTCTGCGAATTTCTCATTTTAGTGTATTTGCATACAAGTTTCATTTAGATATTTTTTCAAACAAATATTACATACAACATTATGAAATGTCTGCCGAATTTTATTTTTTATTTTACAAACTTCTAAATATACTTACATTTTGTCGATAAGTTAGACAATGATTGAAAAATTTTGATCAGCGCCATCTCGCGTTTGGATCACTGAAGCTCCGATTTGTTACTAGGATAACAGAATATACAAGGAGGTATTCGAAGTCAACGACAAAGAAAGAAATATTGTGCGAGAAGGACAGAGAATATCCCCCACCATTTCTAGCACACCATGAATGAAAAATTCATTAATTATTCATTTTTTACTTAAAATTTTAATACTTTTAAATTCGTATCTTGAAGTTAAAACTATAGAGAAGTTTCTCATATTAATTTTAATATGAAATTTCTTTCCATTAATTAGTTATTAATAATTGACGTATCATCTATACATCGAATATCTAATACATCGAAGACGCCATATTGAAAAATAATTAATTATTCGTTTTCTCCTAAAAATTTCGGCACTTTTAAGTTCGTATCTTAAAGTTAAAACTATAGAGAAGTTTCTCATATTAATTTTAATATGAAATTTCTTTCCATTAATTAGTTATTAATAATTGACGTATCATCTATACATCGAATATCTAATACATCGAAGACGCCATATTAAAAAATAATTAATTATTCATTTTCTATTGAAAATTTCGACACTTTTAATCTCACATCTTGAAGTTAAAACTATAAAGAAGTTTCTCATATTAATTTTAATATGAAATTTCTTTCCATTAATTAGTTATTAATAATTGACGTATCATCTATACATCGAATATCTAATACATCGAAGACGCCATATTAAAAAATAATTAATTATTCATTTTCTATTGAAAATTTCGACACTTTTTAATCTCGCATCTTGAAATTAAAATTATAGAAAAATTTCTCATATCAATTTCTACTTGAAATTCTTATTTGTTAATTCTTTATTAACAATTATTATGAAGAATGTCTCAGTTGCAAATTTCTACCATATAATCGATTAATAAACAATTATTTTATTCATTTAAATAATAGCAAAGTTATAAATAAAATTTATATATAAAAGTATCGGAGGAAGCAACGTTTTAAATACATACAATTATATTTAAAAATAAATTCCATATTATTAAAAAATTTACTGCATATCAATAATGTCAATTCTTCGTAAGACATTATTTAATAAACAATTAATTGAGAAGAATTTCATGTTAAAATTGATAGAAAAAACTTGTTTGAGATTCTAGTTTTCAAATGTGAACTTAAAAGTGATAAAATTTTGAATAAAAAATGAATAATTAATGAATTTTTCATTTATGGTGTGCTAGAAATGGTGGGGGATATTCTCTGTCCTTCTCGCACAATATTTCTTTCTTTGTCGTTGACTTCGAATGCCTCCTTGTATGTTCTGTTATCCTAGTAACAAATCGGAGCTTCAGAGATCCAAACGCGAGATGGCGCTGATTAAATTTTTCAATCATTGTCTAACTTATCGGCAAAAGTTATTCTACAAATTTTAAATAGAAGGAAGAAATATAAAAAAAACATATTTTTTTTATTCATTTATTAAAAATTAATTTATTATAAAAAATAAAAGTACAGATACAACTTTCTTTTTAATCTTTAATAATTCTTTAATAATTTCATTGATTATAATAAAAATCAATGAAAATAAATAATAAGAAAAAAATCAAAACAAGGATATAATGATAAAAAAACTGAAACAAATTTTTATTTATAGTATTAAAAAACATCTTATTGAAAATGAAAAAATATTATTTTTTTCTTGATTATTTTAATTGATTAAATTAAAATAGAATTATAAATAAAGATTCATTTATAATAAATAGACAAAGGTATAACAAAAATCATATAGAGTGTTTAAAATTTATTTTGTTCGTGAACCTCCTCATATTTAAAAGTATTTCTTGCCAAGGATATAATATTACAATGTTTATAATTTTTATTTCACATATAGCTCATGTATCATTCCATATCTATAAATTTATTCTTAACATATTAAAGGTCTCTTGACATGAATGCAATTTTCTAATATTAAACTACAAAAAGATTTTTCTATAATAGATTTTTTATACAAAATAGTGTCCTTGGCATTGTGTTTCTTAATGGAACACAAGATAACTAGTGTTCAAAAATCACATTTCTATATATTTTTATTTTTTTCTATACATATTCAAGTCATATCCATGTATGAGCAATATATGTTAAAAATGAGGGACATCATGAGCACTCATCTTTCTACCATATTGAGTTATAATTAATTTAGAAATTTGTATATGAATTTTGATAAAAATTATATTAAAAGAAATAATAATAACAAAAATTGTAGATGTATATAAAAAAAATTGTAATCCTATTTTTTATAAATCTTTTTTAAATAAATTATTGTACTTTATATATATATATATGTATAATATGTTCATTTGATACTAAATTGTCTACAGATACTTTGGTGTTCAAATTATTCTTAGGTACCGTTTCCATGAAAATATTTACAGCAATTATAGAAAATATAGAATAGAAAAAAATTCATTTTGTACGCGTCATTTTGAGAAAAATAATGCTAACGATATCCCATAAATTAATCATTACTGTGTACTTTACAATTGGTGTTATACATATTGCATAAAAGTTTTATTTTTTCATACTGTCTTCTGTGTACAAAGCAATAAATACACTTACAACATAATACAAATACATTGCTAGTGTTAAAAATGTTAATTAATTGTTGCTTTAAAAAGAAAAGTGAAAAATAATATTTATATAGGATTATATAACGATTATAAGCTCGATATTATAATCCATGAAAGCAACAATGCTAATATTATCTTAAACGTATTCAATAAAAAAAAAAAAAAAAATGATTGTATTATAATGAAGTATCCTGAATAAATCACAGTCCATTATGAAAAAAATGAAAGAAAAAAAAAGGATTTCTAAATTTAGTCAACACTTGTTTAAATTTATCCAAAAATATGACAAAAATTTAAAGATATATTAATGATTATATGATGATAATTATCATTTATATGAACTTATTTTGAAATCACGATATAGCTGTCTATCGGTATCTGGCACTTTATGGCAAATCAAAGTTCCTTAAGAATTTTGTCTATCTGCATTAAATTTGACAAATTTATATTAAAAATTGCAGTGTAAGAATTTGTTCTAATATCTGTATTCAATCACTTATTTATGCTATTTGAACGCGTGATCTTCCTTATTTCTAACGTAATATGCACAGAAACAGGTTTACTATATATTGTCACTGAGTGAAAAAAGTTATAAAACCGAGTCTTTAAAGTCATTTTTACTTTCATATGGGAAAATTTATCCCATTCACTTCCCGTGCTGTTTTATCACTAAACACATTTTTAATTCCTTTTTACTTATACAATTTGATAAAAGTGCGTTCACATCTTTTACAAGAAATAAAGAATATTTTTTTTTTTATTTCTTTTCTTTATCAGTTTCTATTATTTCTTTTTTAATTGAGACTTTATTGTCACATTTTTTATCTTTATCCGTTTCTGTGAATTCTTTTTTTATTGGAACTTTGTTATCACCCCATCTACTATCCATTTTAAATTTTGTTTCGATTTCTGATCCATTAACTTCACTAACTTTTTCATCTTGTATTTCTACAACTTCTACTTTTTTTGTATCAGATTGCATCATTTTTGCTGCTATATGATACATATTTTTTACTGCTGTAAGGTATGTATGGCATTCAGACTACGCAGAAAAAAACATAATTTAAGTATATTTTTTGATTAATTAAAAAAAAAAAAAAAAAAAAGAAAAAAAAAAAGAACTAATTAAAAAACATGATACTTACCGATACTTTTTTGAGCTTTTCATCCGTGTTTCTTAATTTATCTTTGTATACTTTTAAATCTTCGGAAAGAGCTTTGATGTTATTTGTTTGTTTTGTTGATTTTTCATTTACTATACATAATTCATGCTGTAATTCCATCAAACGCTCTTCCGTATCCAATCGAGCTTTTTCTGACCTTTTTAATTGGCTAACAAGTTTCTCTACATCTAATAAAGAACCTTTATATATAACAAATCCTTCTGATACAATTGATTCATCAGATTGTTCTATAATTGCATCTTCTCTATGAATTCTTTTTGATGGTGGTCCACTTCCAACGAACACAGGTAATAATTTTTTATTCCTGAAATAAAAAATAATGAAATATTAATAAAAATTATAAATTAAAATTGGTACTTATTAAATATTTATAATGTACCAAGTGCTAATGAACGTAATATTTCTTCTTCATTTTCTATTTTAGTAGAATCAATTTTATCAATTTCCTTCTCATCTCTTTTTTCGTCCTTTAAATCATCTTCCTTTGATCTATCCGTTAATTTACGATAATGCAAAGAATCTCTTGTTACAACCTTTTGTACTAATTTACGAACTTGTGCTCTTGATAATTTCAATCCTAAAGTATAAATAAGTTCTTCTATATCTTTATCAAATATATAGCCACAATGAGTTTGATCGAAATAACGAAAGATAATAAGAGGTAAGGATCATGTGTATACAATTTTATTTTCCTTTTTCTTCCATCTTTTTCTCTATCTCTCCTACCGTCTTTAATTGAATCATCATCCTATAAAAGATAATTATTATAATAAATTTTAAAGTAAAATTTAGATATTATATGTATATATATAATAAAATACATATAAAAAGATAATTACATCAGATTCATCTTCCTCATCATCATCGTCATCATCATTTTTTTCTTTCTCTCGATCTCTATCATCTACTTTGCTTTTTGTCATCTTTTTCATCTTTTTTATCTTTACTTCCTTCTCTTCTTTTATCATCTTTTTTCTCGTCTTTCTTACATCTTTTGTCATCATCTTTTCTTTTATCATCCTTTTTTTCATCTCTTTTGTCATCTTTTTTATCCTTTTTTTTATCTTCATCTTTTTCTTTCGGTTTTTCAGGAAGACTACACAATGATCGATAAATTCGAAAACCAAAATCTCGCATTAACATTTCATTAAAAAGTTCTGCAAATAACGATACCTCAAAGGAATGTTCCTATAAAAGAAAAATAAAATACGGATTAATTGTACATGATTTAAATTTGGCATATGACAAGAAAAGTACCTTTGTATCTTCTGGTCTATAATCTAAAAGGACACTCAAAGACATTACAGTACAATCAAATTTTCCACTTTTAGCCATTCTAGAAGGATGGACAATGATATGAGATGATTCAGGTAAAGTATATCGCTTTTCAAGAGCGGCGCGTTCACGTTCACAAAGTTTTCTTCTATCTTCATCATGCTGTGCATATATCAATATAAATTTTTAAATTTTTAAATAATTTTTACATTTGATATTCATCATGTCGCTTATATTTTATTTTAAATTAATTTAAGTTTTGCAAAATAAAAAAAATTAATACACACACACACATACACACAAAAAAAAATATACAAGAAATCTTACATCTTTAATATCTTTAAATTTTTTATCTTCTTCTTCCTTTGGTGGAGGTGAAATATCCTTATCATTTTCTTCCATATCATCTTGTCTTCCTTCTTCTTTAGCTTGTTCTGATGTTATTACTTTCATAAGTCTTGCAAGTAATTGTGATTTTAAACCTTTGCAATTTAAATTACGAGCTGCTAATTCTTGTCGTAATTCAGTTACCTAAAGTAAAATAAAATTAAAATAAGATTAATGATACATAGATGATATATATGCAAAATAATCAAAAACATAAATCTATAAAAAATTATATTGAGACTAACATTCATAGACTTTGGATCCAATTCAGAGTAATGAGTGGGATCCTTTTTCTCTGGCACTGGATCATCCTGAAAAGAAAAATTATGCATTATGTTATGAAAATAAAGATTAGAATAAAAAACTACAAAACAGAAGCAGCCCCTATATAACGAAACGAAACCACTCCCTCTTCATTCTTTCATCACTCTTTATTTTATCATTCTCTCACATTGTAATGATATACACTGTTCTTCATTCACGATGACCTTCAAGTATGACTCAAGTAACTGCTAGATTCTCATAGTGTCCTGGCTCTGGTGTCTGTGTGATTGATAGGTTATGGATAATATCAATAATGTTGTATATAATGATTATCAAATGAAATTTTTGAATGATTTATCAATGATGGTGAAGGTTTCAGGAAAGGGAATGGCTCAGCTGTGCTCTTCTCCGAGCTAGGCTTGCTTGCTTCTCTTGTTAATGCAATGTGACTGCCAGTGGCTAAAGGAATATTTGCAATACATTACTCATTGATCTTTTTTGATATATTATCTTGATTCAGAAATTTTTTAGTAACCAAAATATTTTAGAATTTATTATATCCTTTTAAGTATGATTATTTTACAAATAACGAATTTTATGCAATTTTAAAATATTATATATGTTATGTACCATATAAAAATAATTAAATTGTTTACTATTGTAGTATCATTTGACTAATATTACAACATTATTCATATGTCATTGAGCCACATGTTATTGCTACTTCCTAATAATTATATATTGAAATGATGAATATCAAATATTAACTTGAATAATATAATAGCATTCAATAAAGGAAACAGTTTAAATGATTTAAATTAGCAATAAATATTTAAATATTCAAAAAACGAACAACTATAGGATCAATGAGCAAGTACAGCCTATATTGAAAATTCAGTTTAGTAATGGGAAAACAGTTGCACGATTATATAATGTAATAAAAAGGTAAAAGTAATATGGGATGATGTTGGCAGTGCCTTTTGATCAGCGACGGCAGCCTCATCAGTGTCATTGGCAGCATCCAAATCGTCGGGACTAGAGGCAGCACGCAGCAATTTTCGCTCCAGTTGTTTCTTATAGCTGAGTTGCAGACCATCCCATTCCAATTTGATGGGTACACAGCTCCAAACATCTGGGAGAAATAGTATGACGGTTTCAACGCGAGAGGGCACCACTCGCCCCGACTTGTGGGTCGTTTCTGCACGTCTGTAGTAGAGTTCCAGGAAGCGGTACCTGTGCCGCAAGGAAAAACAATACCCAAACGTCAACTCAGGTTAATGCCGCTTAGCTTTGCCTTATATGCTAAGTGTTCGTTCGCTTGTTCGTAAAGCCCACGCACTGCATACAAAGCCACACACAGCGCACAATGTAGACCATTTGATAAAGCACAACTGAGTGGATTACAACGATCATAGAACAATAGTGATGATCTGTCTGCCATGACTGCTTGAATATCATCTGGGTGCTCGATACAGGATCCAGTGCAGCAATCTCCATCGGTCGGTCGTGTATAGAACAAATACATACCTCCTCTGTAGAGATTGAGCTACAATCTTAGTTATCAATTCAGAACTCGCATTAGAAGTTATTTTCTCTCACAGATGGTATACCTGCCGGATCTTTCTTAATACTATAACATTCTATTTCATATTTTTAACATAATTTAGTTATATATCGTCAAAAAGTATATTATACATTTATACAATATGAAATGCTGGACGGAGTTGACGAATCCAAAGTTTTCAACCGATGAGAATTTTTAATTTTTACATTAATTTTTACTGAAGTAACTTGATAATGTATCGGCGAATAATGAAACAATAATGGGCAGAAAAACTAGATAGCATCACGTTGCTCTTTCGATGAAGTGCTTTAAATTATAATTAAGATAACAATCAAAATAGAAAAAGTATCAATATATATAAAATCGTACCACTGAGTACAACTGGATAGATCTATTCCCGTGAGCGCTTTACAGGTCCTCACTGCCGTTCTAATTAATACTGATGGATCTTTTTCAGGATTAGGACCATCCAAAGAAGGACTCCATGGTCCACCAATAGCCATTGTTTCATTTTTACCCCGTAAGCCTACTAAGAAATTTATTAAACGTGTAGGATGTACATAATCGCGATCTGGATCTCTATCTTCAGACACACCACAACATCGTTTATAAATTTCTTCCATGGCAGGCATAGATATTAGCATAACCTGATAAAATAATATTTATAATTTAATTAAAATAAATGTTAATTTAATATAAATATAATAAACTATTTATTAATACATTAACTACCATTGAATCTACAATAATATAAAAATTAAATGCCTCAATAATGTCCATATTAAATTAACAAACCTTTGCAGAAAAAAGATAATCAGCATCTGAAGGTTCTAGTACTGCTGTATTTTCAGAACAAGGATCAACATCTTTGTGCATGACATGAAAAGAGCATGGCTTATTAAGAGCAAATGGCATATGTGGAGGAAAGGCATCAACCCATCGAAAATTAGTAGAAAAAAAATCGCTAGGAATATACATATTTTGATAGCGTCTTCTTATTTCAAGTACATCTGCTTCAGGTCTAAAATAATAAGTAGTTAAATCCTACGATTTTAAATATATTATAAAAAAGATATCACATGAAAATAATTTTTAATTAAATTATATAAAAAAATATACTTACAAATCAAGTGCTATTTTTGGTATCTGTACCATGTAACGCGGTACAACTCTAGTACGTCGTCTTGGTCTTGGTGATTTACTTCTTCTAGTTCTTGATGGACTACGTTCCTCTTTTTTCTCGCGTTCCCTAATTCTTTCTTCACGACGTCTTTTTCTTTCAATTTCTTCTTCTTCATTTTTTCGTTCTCGTGGAGATCTTTCTCTTACTCTACCAACTTTATTTCGGTTACTAGCTGTATTAGCACTTGTTGCACTAGTTGTGAATCTATCAAAAATTATATATTTCTTGAATTGAAAAATAACTATTACATTATATATATCATATTAAAAAAAAAGTTTGCATAATATAATAATTTATTACCTGTGTTATTGATAAAGTAATATCTAGCATTAATTACCTATTATTAGCATTTTCAGCAGGAGGGGGCACAGCATTATATGTTCCTGAGGTTCGATTTTGTTGTGGTTGAGATTGTTGTTGTTGTTGGCGAGTATTTTGATTATTTTGTTGTGTATTAGTATTATTATTATTATTTCCCATAGGGAGTACTTGTATTCTAGTAGCACTCCATTTAAATGGCATGGATGGATTATATGATGCTTCTACTAATACTCGGTCACCCACAACAGGATTAGATCCTTTAACACATGCACTGAAAGAATGTTTTGATGTTGTATATTATAAATTTCAAATTAAAAAAATAATAAAAATATTTTTAAATTATATTACTTTGTTTGAAAGAATACATCTTCATCTACAAAACCAAAATTGTCATATACTTGTGTCACTGTGCCAGTAAAAACTCTTTGTTTCGTAGAAGATGAAGGTACATTTTGTTGTACTTGTTGTGGTACACCAGCAACAGAAGGTTGAAATGCATTTGTATTTAATGCTCTTGGTGGTGGATAAGAAACAGTAGCAACTTGTGGATATAATTGACCAGCTATTCCTGATGGCAAGTTAGATCCAAGTGTTGCCATTGAAGCCATTGTTATATTGGGCTATTTTATAAAATATAAACTAATAAATATTAATAAATAATATAATGATATTAAATATATTAAATTAAAAATAGTAAATTAAAAATGTACATTTTAATAAATTATTTTTAACATTCAGAGAAATAACATGTATAAAATATATAATACAAAATATACAAAATATAATAAAAATTTAATTAATAATCAGATATCATATACTTATATTTTTACATTATTTTTACATTTTAATATTCTTTAATATTCTTTAATCCATAATCTGTACTAACCTGTTGTAATCCCAAACTTTGTTGATAAACTTGTTGCGTTTGTTGTTGATATTGAACCATGGGTTGACCACCTATACTACCCATTGCTTGGCCTAACATTTGTTGTTGAATATTTTGAATTCCTTGTCCTATAAATAAAAAAATATATTAAATTTATATAATTTATAAATATAAATAAATAATAAATATATATAAATTATTTTTAATTGCTTGTATAAACATTATATAAATCACATTAAAAATGCATTATATAATTTATGATATTAATAAACTTGTTATTAATAAATTTATTCAATAAATATATCTTATGAATTTAATTTTTTTAACTTAAATTTTTCTATCTAAATTTATTATATATAACTACTTTTAACTATAACTAAATTTATTATATATTATGTATAAAAAGTTTCTATTTTCTAGTTTAGTTTCTATAAGTTTATATTTTCTAAAATACAAACTAAATAATTAAAAAAACATTTAGAGGATAAAACATAATATATTATTACTTATATTTATATTAAAAAAATACAATTTCTTCTATAACAAAAATTTGTATGAAATTTATATAAATATATAATATATAAGATATAAGTAAGATTGCTTATAAATAAAAAAAATTCATTTATTTCAAAATTAAAATTATTACAAATTGAAGATGTAATAATATTAACATTCTATTCCTACAAGTCATATTATAATTTAATTATGTTTAATTTATTATTCAAAAATAAATATTTTAAATCAATTTTTGATATTTCAATAGTATTAAATAAAATATTTATAAAATATATTTTATAAATATATTTATTGACTTGTATAAATTGTAACAGAAACTTGGCAACATTGTTGACTTGCACACGGGACGATATAATAAGATATCTTATATTAATAATGAAATCAGTATACCTGCATTACGAACCCATGGTGGATTTTTGCCACCTCCAAATGGTGAAAGATTACTCATTTCTTAAGAAATATGTACTATTATTAATAATACAAATTTAACAAGATCTTCACTATATTCTTAATTGAGCGTCCTTCATTCGGGCGCCATCTTTTTATCTACTACTGAAATCAAATATTGTTCTATTCAGGAAGTAAATTAAATTTAAAATTTTTTAAATACATATTGTTTATAAAATTTTCTATAAAAGTGTTATTTTGTTTGATACTAATTTTCCTAATTTAATTATTTAATGACAAATAATTGTTAATTAAATAATTATAAAAAAAATTTAGACAAGTTTTAATTTCATTTTATTGTATGTTTAGACGCATAGGAAACATTTTCATCAGATTGAAACTAAATGAAAACGCATATATCTTGTTTTATTATCAATCATCGATATCTAATATTTTAATATATTTGAATTAATCCATTTTTAAAAAATAATTTTAAGTACAACATAATATTTATAATTGATTATTTATATAATACAATTATAATAAATATATTATAATAATTCAAATAAATTCATTTTTACTTCATTGTGACGATAATGAATCAAAACGTCATATCCGGTGTAGATGCTACAATAAAATTGAGCAGAATCATGATTGGTCCACAATCAAGATTATCAAGATCCAAGGCAAAGCATGACATAACATCCTTTGGTTATGTCAAATGAGTTGTATTAGTATAATTACATGTTCTCTTTTCATTATAAGTTAAAATAAGATTTCTTCGAATAAATTATAAAAAATAGTATCCTCAAGTAAAAGAATTTAATAAGAATATGAATGTAATAGATTAATTAGATAATTATTTAATATAAAACTTAAGTAAGTATATAGCAATATCGTAATTTCAATATTGAATTGAATATATATTAATTTTATGGATAAAATTTTATAATCTTAAATAATGTAAAATAAAAATTTTATATAATCTTATATAATTTATTATAATAATTTTATTACAATTTATATTTATATTTGATATTTTTAATTGTTTACGAAATATAAAAATATATATCTATTATTATTCATTAATAATACAAAAAAATCTTTAATAAAAAATATCATATTGTAAATCATATATATAGTAAAAAACTTTAAGGCGCAATCATAAGAACATAATTCAAGATCGTATGAATTTCAAGAATTAAAAAAATTTATTGTAAAATATTTAATTTTAATAAAATTTTATCTATAAAAATAATATATATAACCAACACTACTTATAGATTTTTAGATTAAAATTTTATTTCAATTATTGTTTTTTAACTCTATAAATTTTAACAGAATACTATTATTCTTTCTGTTACGTGATCAAAAACAAAACATGCTATTGGTTATTTCACATTGCTGTAGGAAATGTTATACGGGATTGGTCAAGCAGGAAAGCACGTTTGTTGTTCAATAATTATCGATATTAAACTGAAATCACCGTTTTATTACATAATAATTCTATAAAACAGTAAACGATTATCTTTAAAAAACAATACAAACAATATTATTCAGTAGAAGGAAGAGATTAAGCTGTCTAAAATTGATTTTTGAAGAAGTAAGCTTTGAACATGGCGTTGAGATCGATCTGCCGGCTGTCAATTGATTCGACCTTCAGCCATTTGAGCCATTTGGGAGCCACCGCCCGGCCGAGACGATCGTCTTTCGCATTGCTCGTACGAAGTTTTGCCGTTATTGCAGAAAAAATGGGTTTGCCGCGAGTTTTCTTCGATATGACCGCGGATACTAAGCCTGTGGGTCGTATCGTAATGGAGGTAAGTGAAAATTATTTTCAATTAATGTAGTTTTTATTTTTAAAACATGTTATCGTTGGAATCCCGGCATGATTGGCCATCTTGGATTTTCTTGAAAGCCGGTTATGTGAGATGATTTTCGATTAGAATTTTCCGCAAAATTGTTATTATGCACATTTTATTATTTAAAATAATTATTTTAAGCGAATGAAATTAAATTTTTTTTCAATCGATGTTGTAAAACATGATATGCATAAGATGTAGTATATATAGTATTACTAATTTTTTTTGATTTCTACTGAATCGTAAAATTTTCCATTCACGATTGCCGCTGACACGTTTGATTACGTATTCTGTACAGGTGAAGCTTTAGCGCGTAATTATAGAAATATGTCTAAGCGAATTTTTTTGGTAATTTTATATGCTATATAAGCTTAAAATATTGTAATTATGATTTTTTACACGTATTAATTTAACATAGGAAAAAAAAATAAAATATGAATAAGTTATGAACACGTCATAGCTAAAATGGAAGTGATAATAATGTAATTTCATTTGTATTTAGATATGAACATTAATTCTTACCTACTATATAATTTTTTTATATACATTGTGTTGTTATATTAATAGTAAAATTTTCCACTTCAATAAGTAAACTAACTATATAGTTGTGTATATATATATATATATATATATATCAACTATATATCAGTATAATATTTAAAACATTGATTTTTTAGATTATATTAATTTAATTTCTGTTATATATAATTATATATTTATTTATATAAATAGTAATTTAATTCAATATATAATATAGAGATAATCATCAAATATTTTGTTTGATATGTTTTTTAAAGAAACAACATTGATTAAATTTTCAGTTAAGGAGTGATGTTGTCCCAAAAACTGCAGAAAATTTCCGAGCCCTTTGTACTGGAGAGAAGGGTTTTGGTTATAAAGGAAGCAGCTTCCATAGAGTGATCCCAAATTTTATGTGCCAAGGAGGTGATTTTACTAACCATAATGGCACTGGTGGCAAATCTATTTATGGTGTGAGATTTGATGATGAGAATTTCACATTGAAACATACCGAACCTGGTATTCTTTCCATGGCTAATGCTGGTCCAAACACTAATGGTAGTCAGTTCTTCATTACCAGTGCCAAAACAAGTTGGCTTGATGGCAAACATGTTGTATTTGGAAAAGTTGTTGAAGGAATGGATGTTGTTAGAAAAGTATGTAATTATATTCTTAATCTTTTGCCTTATTTCATTTTAATTATAGATATTTAAAAAATATTTTATCGTATGATAACTCATATAATAATTTGGTAATAGTTTATAAAATATAATTAAATTTTTCTTATTTCTATTTTAAGAATTTTAAAAATATTTTAATCTATAATGAATGATTAAATAATTTAATATTACTTCTTCTTTTTTAATATAATTTAATATTGTTTTTTTTTTGTTTTAGTTGGAGGCTATGGGATCTCAAAGTGGAAAAACTTCCAAAAAGATTGTAATAACTGACTGTGGAGAAATGTAGATTGTTCAATTAGATACTCTAATGACTGCATTTTTATTTAGCTGTTGCATACAACTGTTGCTATCTTTATTGTATGATTCATTCATTCTAATCATCGCCGCCATTTTTCTTTAATATTATGGATTGAGTTTCATATAAAAGAAAAAACTGTATAATTTTTAAATTAGAATTAACAAATCAGCTGCATTGTACAATCTTTCATCATAAATAATTGAAGTTGGAATACGTAATGAAATAGAATTTATTAACATGAATTTTTGGTTTGTTTTTTTTTTTATTATAAAAAATCGTTCAATTTCTCATTCATCATTACCTGCAATAAGCAACATATTTCTTCTTCTAATCAAAATAATGTAAAACAAATGAACAAAATTTAGATCCAACATTCTTCCATGGAATATTTCTCCTTTAATAATATTAAATTATATAGCACACTAAATGTATAGATGAATCGTGCATTTCATAAAATAATTCTTCTGTGTGTACTATTCATACTTTGATATCTAATCAGGATTAAATTCATAAGAAAGGTCCATAAGTTAGTGTTACATGATTGCTGTACAATGCATTTATCTGTGACGTTACGGAATATTTTAACTTTTCTATTGTGCTTTTATACTTAGACCCATCAAAATAATGCTCATGTTATCTAGGGCATTATTCGTTTTTATATGTATACACCATTCCTTTTCTAAGCACACAAGATTGATAATAGAGATTCGATTAGTGTAAACTGTAATATCAGATAATGCCTTTAGGTAATTCCATCTTATTTTGATGTAACACAAATGTTGAAAGATGTAGTTTCAACGGTCACAGTAATTGGGATTTCTATAAAATAAAATTGTTTTCAGAACTAATTGTTGTATATTTACTATCATGAATAAAGTATGAATTCCTTTCAATGTAACCATATTTTATTAAGTTTTTATTTTATTAAAAGGAAAGGTTCATTTCATAAATATATTTTATAATTTTAATCTTTATTTATTTTTAAATTTAAACTTATTAAAAAGTTATTACATTTATTACATATTAGAGATTTGATATTATAAATTTATGTAAATTGAAGTTATTTAAAAGAGAAAAAAATATAAATAAATTTCAACATGGATTTTTCCATGTTAAATTATAAATATTATATATTATAAAATTATATAAATATGTAAGCATAGATAGCTATAATCTGAAATGATAAATGACAAAATGTTTTTATTGTATTGCTTATTTTATTCGTTGGTATGCCATTTTTGAGCTTTTTCTATTCATAATTTGTATGTATTTTGTACTAATCTAATACATAATGTTAATTTCATTCAATTTTATATATATAATTTTATATATTAATATAAACTAAATGAAATGATATCAATATTAATCAAAATAAAAATATGGATTAAAGAGATGCATTACTTAATAAAAACAGAAAAATTGATACATATTATGTAACAAATAATCCTTAATTATTATTTCGAATTCTATTTTTAAATAAATACCGTTTATTAATTGACAATATAAAAAATATACGATTATATTTTTAAATAGTTATTGATAATTTTTTTTTAAAAAGAAAAAGAGAAAGTAGATTAAACTTTTGTAGATTTTATTAATTCTGTGAAAGGTGAAACCATAAATACAATATGAGTATTATATCAACGTTATTTCGTACAGGTAGCCACACATGTACGTAACAGTCATATTTAATGAAACATTTACATATTATTCAGCAAAATCCATTTTCATTTCTTTTTAACATTTGTATATTAATAAAATTGCCATAATTATTTGCTTATTGTTTGTTTCCTCGATTATATTTTTAAAGTATAACGATAGTATGTCCATGACGTAACATAAATATCACTCATATTCTGATGATCTACAGATCTACAGATCTACGATTTTACAATATAAATTAAGTCGTTATTAAAAGTATGTATATGTAAATTTTTATACACACAATTATACATATTTATATGTATGCGCATTTATATATTATATTACAATTATTTGTTGAGCCTTCGACCCGCAAAGGCAAATAAATACACGCATTACATTTTCTTTCAACAACATTCTTTTAAGATTTTATTTGATGAAAGAAGGATATCATTAAGCATTGAATTTAAGAATGAGAATTTTTTAATCATTCTTTAACCATTATATTTATTGATTTTTTTTATTGTGCTTCAGTATCCATATCTGTGGATATATAACAAATATTACTGCCGTTTTTAATATATTATTTGAATTTTACTACTGGAAAAGACAATTAAATTTGTCAATGTCTAAAGACAGATCTACTGCTTTTAAAGTTGATTTAAAATTGTACAATTTTTAAGACTTTTATTGATAAAAATATATATCATTTCTCGATTAAAGAATTCGTATATTATTTTAACTTATTAAAAGGTGATTTTTAAAAAAATTTGAAATTTGAAAATTTGATTAAGGCTAATATATTTAATTATTTATGAACTAATTTATAAAAATTTTATTAAAAATTTTATTAAAAAAATCAAATTAAATAATTTATCTTTTTTTTTTTGTAAATATAATTTTTTAGGGTTGAAATCATATTCATAAATAAAAAATTGTATTATGATTGAATGATCTTTTTATACGGGATACACTATACACATATATGATCGAAATATTTTAATTTCGAAACGGTCATATCGTTGAATAACAATCTGCTTTATATTTAATTCTTCTCATAAAAAAAACAATACTTTTTTTTATTTATGGAATATCATATAACATTTATTATACGACATATTTTTTAATTATATTTCGAAATTTTAGCTTCGAATTTTTGCTTAATTATATTTTGAATATTATAATTTATTTAAATATAGAAGATGATTAAACTTTTGTCCACATTTACTTGTTGAAAGTTGCATCCATTGAAATATTTAGATCTACGATGTTTTATAGATTTTTATATCTAATTTTTGACCATGGATCCCGCAATGTCAATGAATTTGTTTCATTCATCTGTACCAACTGTAAAATTTCAATAAAATTAAAAACATTTTTAATAACAAAGATAATTAAGTATTAATAAATATATAAAATAATTATAATATAATTATGACGTTAATGAGAATCTATGAATGTAATATGGAACGAAAAAAAAGGAATAAAAATACAATAGAAAATATTCTGAAATTTTCATTAATAGATATTTGGAATATTATGAATATTAGAATATTAAAATTGATAAAAATGATAAGACAATATCTCTTAGAAGTATAGCAAAGAAGTATGGAAAAAAAAGAAAATATACGTAGTTTATTAGCTTGAATTAAATGAAATGGTCAATTATCTATTAGGTCGTGTTAATCTTTGAATAAATTCTTAAACGAAGAAGCGTTAATCAAACGAGCGAGACCCGTGTTTGTATTTCCATACTACTTGACGAATAGATCTTTTAAAGAAGAACAAATAGATGGTTCGCAGGATTCGGTTTGCTCTTGGTCTTTGGTACTCGAAAACCAACTCGTCACTTTACTTGATCTTGGTTTGTTCGGAGATACCGAGGGTTTGCTGCTCGATCCGGTTGCTTCCGCGTCATTTCCTCTTTGCGCCGTTAAAATTTTTTCAATTGCGCTACCCAAAACCTACAAACAAAATCGTTAGAATTTTTCTATCTTTGCTTTGAAAAAATTGCGAAAGCCATATATATATATGACAAAAATCTACAATTCCTTAACTAATATTATTATGATTCTACACAATAATTTACATTAATAATATTAAATCAAGACGTAAATTACAGAATTTCCTTTGATAACAATTAAACAATTTCATATTGAATAGAATATGACTTTTATTCGTAAAATTTATTTACGAAACTAAATTTGTTGCTATTATTAAAGATAAATCATTAAAATAACTCGTGATTTGCAAAATTTTACCAATATGCAAGAAAAGATCCACTTAATAAATTATCGCGCATGAAATAGAATGGACGAGAAATAGAGCAGACCTGAGCGTCCACCTTCGTTCCACTGGTGTCATCCCATACGACTTTGTGCCTGATATCGATACTAGGAGACGTTTTGCCTAACGTCTCCTTAACCGCCTTCACGACCTTCGATTTATCGAACTTGAAGTTCAAACTAGCCGTGATTAAATCTTCCGGCTTCTGTTTCTTCGACATCGGTTGATGTCTCTTGGTGAACCAATTCGACGGAGCCATGATGGTCGAAGCTGCAGCCTTCGAGGATCCGGCCAGCTTGCTTTTCGCCCCGTGAAGAATGGACACGTCGAAACTGTTGGAACGAAAACTTTTCAATCGACTTCGTTTCTGTTCACCCGTCTTCCCGGACCAACTCGACTTGCTCTCCTCGCGCGATCCTTCTTCGCCGCATCGGTTGATCTCGGTCGCGGAAGAGGCCAATGAGCTCAGGATCGATATCAGATCGGTATTGGAGCACACGATGCCCGCAGCGCCGGAAACAGAAGCACTCGTGGCTCTCGCCACTTCAGAGGCCCGTCTTCGGATAGAGGCGGTCGGTGACACGGAAGGTGCGGGCATTTCAGAGAATCGTCGTTTCGGATATTGGGTGTAGCGTTGAGTCGAGCTATTACCTTCCAGTGGCTGGATCTCGCACACTTGTTCCGTCGACGTCTTGTACATCTTTAACAGCACCTGCGGATGAGATTGGTTTCAGTTGAAACGTATCTTCTCTTTAATTCTATTCTCTTCCCGCGAATTGTTAACCTCCTTTGCGCTCCAAGCTTTTTCGAATTCCAACAATTCCAAACGATTTCCCGCGCCCGTTCGATCAATCTCTTAGCTAAGTTAAAAATGATTTCGCACATGAAACTTTTATATTTTTATATCTTATGTATCTTCACATACAGAGAAAGAAAATTTGTCGAGTATTAAAGTTTGGAGCGCAAATTAAGAGTTAAAAATTGATGGAGGTAATGAAATAATGGATCTGATCTAATAAAAAACCTAATTTTAGATTTCGACGATATTACGAATGTAATAGAATGTATAGAACGTCTCTTTCCGTGTACACTAATGCATTGTCTTCACATTGTTTGGCGTGAAGATGGATACATATAACCCGATCGATACAAAATTATCGACCGAGTATTAAATTCATCATTAGTCTTAACCTTCTTCGCTTTCATCTCCGCGATATCGTCCATAATATCTAATTGAAGATTATGCGAGCTCCCGGTATTGCTCGGTGGTCCACCCATTCTGGATTCCGAATCTCGACGGCTCGGCAATATTCTGGTCGCGCCTCCGAGTGGAAAAGCGGCGATTGATTCACGACGATTACGGCTGAACAGGGTCTGCGGCACTCTGGAGATGGTAACGACCGAATGCCTTCGCCCACCCGGCTGAGGAGCTGGCGCTTGAGAGAGGGTGGACAGGAAAGCGGCCTCCCTCGCGGATGGTCCTGATTCCCCGCCACGTTCGCTCAGTCGTCTCACCTGTTGCGATCGCGAGTCGTTTTATTAACTCGAAATTTTATTCTCCATAATTAAATAATTTTTTACTGCAATGCTTTTAAATTAAAAAAAAAAAAAAATAGATAGATTTTTCCTTTCAAATGTAATTCTTGAAATGTATATGTCTATATGGTGCAACAATTGAGGCTGAAACACACGCGTCGAAAATACATTATGGGACGTAATTTAAGTGGTGCAATCGTCGTACCTGTGACGCGGTTATCCCGGAAGTGCATTGCGGAGTCGGTAGAGAATGCTTCCTTGCCTCTCTCCAGGGGGACAATAGATAAGGATTCAAGGATGGCGAATCGGGATCCATGCATCGGGGAGGCGATTCGTTCCTCCGCCATTCCGCTTCCTCTTCTCCCAGCGTGCTTTCCTCCACGATGATCTGTGGCTCGCCACAGCTTCCCACAGTGTTCAAATTCGAGCCGTACGATTGTTTTCTCATCTTGCTTCGAAGAACAAACTCTCGCCTGTTAAAAATAAGTTGATGAAAGTTTTCGCCGTTATGATCTTTCGTTAACGACAATAATTGCGTCAATCCTATTTTTACATATTTTCGCCCGATGTTGTTTTTTAAATAAATGACACGAATGGCGGATCGTAATTTTTTCTCATTGATACGCGAGCTTTGTACGTAGAGGGAGAAAATATTGTTTTTTATTTTTAACGTTTCACTTTTTTCCCACGCTACTTTCGCTTTAGTTGTGCGTTGCGGGGTTTTTCGCCTGTTAAAAACAGATTGCGCAAACATGCACATGCATCACGTGCTCGGAATAAATGTTGCGAGTCGATATTCTCTTTCGGTTAAATCGCTCTCGTTATTTTTCTACGTCTGGAAAAACGTATCTCTCTGCACACGTATCATTGCCAGAGTATCGAGATTTTATTAAAAAGTTCGCGATACTTTATCTCTCGGAAAATTAGTAAATTTCATTTCTCAAATATCTTTCAAAAATTGAAGGATAATTTTCAAATTTCAACCCCATCGTGTTTTCATTTCCATCGCATTTCGACCGTTAATATATTCTATTACAGAAACATATATTCGTGAATGTTGGGAAAGTTTGACGACAGTTGCACGAGTTCCAAAGACGTCGAGTTCCGGGAAACAAGTTCGTTCTTTGCGTGGATATCGATCCGACGTTATGCACGTATGATTTATTTTTCTCGATAAAATCAGGCAACTATTTGCCGGTCTTCTCCTCACGGATCATCGAGCCGAATGATTTCTGTATAAAGGGGCTGGAAATTTGAGGCAACCTATACTTAAAACTTCATTCGATTAAACTTAACAAGATTTGGATCGAGGACAACCTGGCTTTTGAATTTGATCAAATAATTTGAGATAACAAGGATTCGCCAGACGGTATCGAATAATGAAATTCTTTCTCGTTAATAATTAAATTGAAAAACGTATTTTTCTTGTTAATTGAAATTCTTTTTTGATGAAAAAGGATAATATTTAAACGATTTTTAATTTTAAAATTTGAAAGAAGAATTAATTTAAGTTTAAACAAAAACCTAAAACTATTAAATGAATCCTTCATCCAAAATTCTTATTCACTGTTAAAAAATTTGTAAAATATTAGATTTATTTAAAGAATCATTGGAGATCTTCTTTTTCTTCCTAATCTTTTTGAAACTTTCGAAATTAATTACAATAAACGCGCGATCGCGTGAGATGGGATTTCCACGATGAGTCGAGGCAGGAAATTTTCGCAGGAAAGGAAAATTGAAATCAACGGAATTTTAGCGGTTTTTTGATTTGATCGCGTATATAAATCGAGTTAGAGATCTCGAGGTAAGGAGGAGCATTACCATCTTCTCAATTTAATCGATCGCTTTGTGCGAGGAAAGATGAAACACTTCTTTGCACTTTTTGCAATTCTCGTAGCTATCGTTTATCGCATCTTGCGTAAATGTTCCTCAACTTGTTTACGATGGACCCATTTACGAATTGAGTGAGTACTATTTCTTTCACGTTCATTTTAATCATCGAGAATGTGTAAAACATTTCGTTTTAAAATTTTTTTTCTCCTAGCATAAAATTATTTATCGTTAAAAGAGGAGAAAAATGAATATAATATAAATTATATCGATGATCGAAAAAAATTAAATGCTCGAATTTTTAAGATTCCTATTTTTTTTTTTTTTTTACTAGAATCTAGTAAATTAATGACATTATCTCGTCTTGTTACGTAAAATTTTTTTGCTCCATTGCCGAAATAACATGGATAATTGAATCTGAAATTAAAGATAAGTTAGACAAATGAAAGAATCCGAGATTTCAATTTTTCACTAGGGCTTTAAATCGAGGAAGAGAATATGGAACCAGGATTGATGGATTCGAACGAACCACAACCACTTCGACATCGAAGGGTAACGTGCCACGTTTTATCGTGGCAATGAAAATGGCTGAGCATTAATCATTCGGCCTGCGCTATCGGATGTTTAGCTCAACGACGCAGAGGCGGTAGTTGCCGAAATGGCGTGTGCGTCTGTCGACAGTGAAACTGTTCGAAAATCGATTGTACCGATCTGTTCGTGTGAAATTTCCCACTTTTTATTACGGTATTTTATACAACGGGTAAAATCATTTTTTAAAATCATCATTTCTCGTGTCACAATCGGTCAAGATGAAAAGTTATTTCGCTTGATTAATGCGATATAATTAAATAATCCGCTTCTTACAAAACCACTCACTCACCGAGTATTGAACGTTCAGTGTGCTTAGACGCCCATAAGAGTGTCTTTTTATTCTTCAAATTGTTCCTCCTCCTTCGAGGATAAAATCTGAGGAAAAGAAGAAATGATAAATTTATTAGAAAAACAAGTAACACAAATGCGGATAATATGATTGAACAACTCATTCGTTTATTTCAAATCGTGGATATTCGGTTGATTTAATTTTTCAATACATTTTCCATAAATTAAATGCATTTTAAAGGATAAATTTTATAATCATAATATAATATAAAATGTTAAAATGATAAATTGGAAAATCTTGGAATATCGTAACGACGCTTAATATTATTACGTTATCGTGTGTGCCTGAAACATATTTCACACAGATGCACACCGATTTATAATTGCATTCCTCCAAAATGACTTGCCGCGAGTTTTCTTCTGCCAATGCCAAGTCTTTGACTCGTATCGTGATGGAGATAAATGAAAATTACTTTCAATTAATATAATTTTTATTTCTGAAACATGGATATCGTTGGAATCCAGGCATGATTGGCCATCCTAGATTTTCTTGAAACGGTGAGACGATTTTCGATTAGAATTTTCCTCAAAATTGTTATTATACACATTTCATCATTTGAAATAATTATTTTAAGATTTTTTTTCGTTCGATGTTGTAAAGCGTGATACGCTTATAAGATGTAGCATATACAATATTATTAATTTTGTTTTATTTCTACTGAATCGTAAAATTTTCCATTCGCGATTTTCGTTGATACGTTTGATTACAATGTATTTTGTTCTATGATATTAATTATAGAATATGTATAAGCGAATTCTTTTGATAATTTTATATGAGGTTAAAATATAATAAACAGACGTATACACCAATTTATACATTGATTTATAATTGCTTCAAAATGGTGGAAACATATCGACGAAATATATTAAGATCGTTGAACTTGATTAATCACGTGTACTTTAACAACTGTCAACGCTCAAGCGTTAATTCTCTTTTTCCTTTCCTCGATTCAATCGATATAAAAGAAATTTTTCCCAATTTTCAAAGTTCGATAAAGTTTTTGAAAAGTTCTTTCCTCTGTTTAGAGGATATATATATTTTATGGACACTTTGAAGTCTAAACCTTGTTTCCACGGTGCCATTAATCAAATCGAGCAGAGGTTGCATTTCATCGAATCAAGCAACGTTTCACGCGATACAACGTGTACAACAAACTCTGACGTGCGTTTGATGTCAAACGCACAATTCTCGCCAATGTTGGCATCGTTCAGATCGTGTTTGCTTCTAAATTCTAATTTCTATGGTTTAATGCCATACGGATATGAAAGAGCTGGATGGAATTTTTTAAACAATAATAAACAAAGTTTATTAAATATTTCGATTACACACTTTTCTCGTTCAATTTTCATCATCGTGAGTTTAACAAGAATGGGAGTTGTGGGATAAATTTGTTTAAAAGAATAAATATTAATCGTAAGATAATGATATTGATACATTCGTTTCGTTGATCTTTGATTAAAATAAATATCAAACGATATAAATAAATAAATGGTAAATAAACGAGAATTAATATGACGGCCTGCATTATCTATTCACTTTACGTGGCAGCGAAGTTAAATTGAAATTCACGTATTTACAGAAAGTAATATCCTCCTCTAAGTGACTGTTAAAACGATCAACAGGAATGGGGTGTCCGTCACTCAGAATTTTCAATTTGCGGGGAAGGAAGTTGAAGAAAAGTCGAACTCTTCGAGTTATCTTTCCTTTTTATATTTTTTTTAAAAATCTTGTAAAATTTTTACAGCAGAGAAAAATAAATATCACTGTATCTCGTTGAAAATTTATCATTATTCATCGAAAAATTTCTATTTGATCAATTTTGCGAAAGATCGTGGAAAGATAAGTGATAAATTTTCTGAAAAGCAACGAGCGGAATCGAGTAAGTAGTATCAGTCGATAACTGATCAGCCGCCAAGTGTTCTCATAGAACGACCATTATATCTCTTACAACTTCTCGAACGGCGACGAGGTGAAGGATTATTATTTTTATTTTTTTTTTTTTTAACAGCCGAATAATAAATTGATCCTTTAACCTCGCTTTTTCTCCCTCCCTCCCTCCCTCCCTCGTCAACTTTTGTCAATTTATTCGAGCCGAAGCTCGCAATTTATTCCCAACTGTCCCCAACTACGTGCATAATCATAAGTCACGAATTCGAGCATTCGTGGTTAAAGTTATTTTCAATCCAATTCCCCCTCCCTCCCCAAAACTTTCCAAAAGATTTTCCAAAAGTTTCGTAATAATATTTTTTGTAATATTAAATTACTGGACTCTTTTGTTTAATCTATTCAAATGTTTAAAACAATTTTTAATACTTGAAAATTTAATCCAATAATAAAAATTACACATATTCACATCAAATTGAAATATATACAGAGAGTGGAGGAAAGGAAAAAAAAAAAAAAAAAAAGAAAATAATTTTTCCACAGAGGATCGATCTCGATTATTGCAAAATTCAGGTAAAGGGGGAGGAGGGGAAGGGGAGGGGGGAAGGGGGCCTCTGTTCCAATCGACCGACTACACTCGAATGCGATTCCTTGAAAGATAAGATCGAGTGATATCCAATAAAGCAAAGACCTGGTGAGTGCAGCTTTAGATAGTCTATCGATCGTGGCTCGCGACCACGGTTCACCCTTACAAGGTAGTACAAAGTTAAAGTGAGCTCTGTGTCACTTTTTTTTTATATCTTATTTTATTCAACTTTTCTTTTCTTCTTTCTTCGTCCAACTCGATGATCCACGAACGCATGCCATTGGAAACGTGTCGTCACGTCAGTTTTACAACGGAGAAAGAAAAATCTTGCTACGTAATAAAATTGATCTTTATTTTCCTTTTATTTATCGAGAACCGAAAGCAGATAGATTTTCTCGCATAATTGTGCAATTAACTTCTCTACTTTTATGAAATTAAATTGTACAGACGAGTTAATTCTTCTAGTTTGCAAATTTTATAGGGGAGGATATTAAATTCCTACGGTATCTATGATATAAAGAGCGATATATTGGAATTTTTGGACTTCGAGTCCTTCATCTTTATTACGTTATATTACTATATTAACCTTATCAAATCCTATTATATTGTACGCATGTATGTAATTTTAAAAATTTCCACAATATTAATATACCATACACTCAAGTTTCACTTAAGAATAACTTTGCTCTTGAGAGATTAACTTATGACACTTATGAATCACTTTGAACATAATAAAATACTTGCTAATCTTAGACTTTACGGCTCCATCGTGCTCAACCTGTGCTCATGTGTGTGTACTCTTTTTACATAACACCACGGTGCGTTTTGACGTCATCCGTTGTTGCTTGCAATATCTGAAACAATCCTTCGTGACGTCGTAAGGGAGAATATATTCATATGCTATGCTATTTTCCCTCCCCGTATTGCCAACTTTTCTAGACGAGAAAAAAAACTATGCGATTCCTCCCCTAGATTCCTGCCTCGTGATAAGTATTCGTAAATATATTAAACGTCAAACTTGGCAACACGGCTAGAAAGAAAATGGCCGCGAAATTTTTTTCGAAATGAAAGCACTTTCAACCGAGAAGAGGTTGTCGCCTCGACTCGATGATTCAAACTTTCCTCCTTTTCGATTCTTTGCACAAAGTATTATCCGAGTTAAAGGTATTAAAGTTGATTGTAATTCGTTTCCAGACTGGAAATGGATGGAAGGAATGGTCGTATTTTCGATTCGAGGTGGCAACGCTGTCCGCCGTTAATTATTCCAGTAAATTTCTTCCAGATTAATATCGAGAAGTTTGAAGTTTGAACTCTTGCTCTATTGTTTGAGTTTCGTTGATTTTCGAAAGTTGTTGTTGTGTCGAATATATATATTTCGATGCATGTAAATTCGAAATGAGATTATTTAGTAATTAAATTGTCGCGATTTTGTAATTTGATATAATAATTTTAATTAATACTTCATTTTTAATTAAACGACGCAAATTGTCTCGTTTATAATTATATTGTTGAAAATTTTTGTACTATCTGTACATGTAAAATGGATGTAATATTGTACTATAATAGGTTTAATTAAATAATATTCTTCATTTTGATATCTTAATTAAGGGGACAAGTTACATTACAAAAGAAATTAAATTACTCTTACAATTTGATGTACAAGTTTCTTACGGTTTAATAAACAGTTGCAAGTTCTTTGTACTTTGTAAACTCATTAAATATTATTTAATTATAATTTTTCTTTTCTAAACGATTGATAATTATTGAAAGATTAACGATTATTTAATATTTAATTTTAATTCACTTTCATTAAATCGAGAGGATCGTTTAACTATCGGAGTATCATATAACGATTATCAATATTAAAGAGTATCGCTTGTTTACTTCTTTTGACACATCGCCACATTGTGCAGTCTAAATTTTCATTACAATTTTAATACTCGAGAAATAAAGTTAAAAAATCTAATTAATAATGACAATATTGATAATTAAGAACGATGATTAATCAATTTACACGAAAGACTTAAAATTAAAAATTCATTTAACCATACGGCCTCGAACTAAGTTCTAAATTCAAAACACGTGCCACGATAATATGTATTTAATATTTCAATTATCGATCCACTGATATTTCGCTTTTTATTAACTTTTCAGCCATGAAGGGAATTCACTTCAATTTATTATTTGTTATCGTTACGTATATTGTCAATATTTTCTCTCGTTAGAAAAATAATCAGGGATGAAATATCGATATCATTGTTGTTAACGTTTTAAACAACAATGATGTTTTATAGATTTCTCTTTTTTTTAACGACGATTTTCCTTAATATTTACGTTCTCATTGGAATAAATTAATTTAACGAGATATAAAATTATCTCAATATTATGTATTTATATTCTTACTCGTGAATTATGTCCACAAAGATAAGAATTTTTAAAGTAAGAAAAATTGAAGAAGTTAAATTTGTTTTAGGTTATGTTATATCATGTTGTATTATCATCGAATAATATTAATAATAATTTGAATCGATAATAACTAATAATATGATTTCATCC